GCAGGTATCCCTTGCCCCCTCACATTGAGGCGTCTTGTTTTGACACATCCTGTGGCCCGTGCCTGGTGACGCAGATGGCGAAAGCATCTGCCTGCAATGCAGGGAGACCTGGATTCGATCCCCGGGATCGGGAAGATTCCCCTGGAGAAGGGAAATGGCAAACCCATTTCAGTGCTCTTGCCTGGAGAAAATCCCATGGACGGGGGAGTGTGGTGGGCTTACACCCACGAGATCGCAAAGAGCCGGACGCGACCGAGTGACTTCACTGGCTAACTGGTGGCCTGTGTACCCCTCACGGCCCCGCGCTGGCAGGCTCCCAGTGGTTGAAAGCTTCTTCCTGCGTAGGAAGAAGCACAAGTCTTCTACTGAGTTGAGCATCTTGTATCTGCCCCTCCTGCGTCTGTTCCACCTGGGGACTCTAGGTGGCACCAGAGCCGCGTTTGGTCCCCTGCGTTTTGCTGCCTAATCTGGTCCCAATAACTGTGATGGTGGAGATCAGCTCTCAGCCAAATGCCCTCCTCTCTCTCATCCAGACAACCCCACGGGCCACCTCCCCGGTCGTCTGGTGGTTAAAGATCTGCCTTGCAGTGCAGGAGATGCCGGTTCGAGCCCTGGTCGGGGAACCAGGATCCCACATGCTGTGCAGCGAGAAAGCCCTCATGCCACAGCTAGATGGCCCGTGTTCCCCACGGGATGCAATGAAGATCCTGCTCTGCCACAGCCAAGACCCGATAAATAAATGTAAAAAATAAATAAATTCTTTTTTTAAAAAAAAAAGAAAAAATTTAAAAACCCTGCCATTTTAGCCACCAGAGGGGCTGACAAACCGTCTGAAAAGAGAAAGTCGTTCGGTTGTGTCTGACTCTTTGCAACCCCATTTACTATACAGACCATGGAAAATTCTGCAGGCCGGAATACTGGAGTGGGTAGCCTTTACCTGCTCCAGGGTATCTTCCCAACCCAGGGATGGAACCCAGGTCTCCTGCATTGCAGGCGGATTCTTTACCAGCTGAGCTATCAGGGAACCTCCCTTGATTCCCAAATGTATTTACTATGCTCTAGGGAAGTCTGAAGATCTGACAAGAGTGCACATGTTTTAGGAAAATTTCACTGTCCCCAAGTAGCCCCAGTTCCTTACTTAGAGCTTGTGGGTACCACCCTTTCCACTGTGCTTTCATTCGTTTTTAAAAGCCATAATTAGTACTGTGACCGTTGGCTGTGTCTTCTCAAAGTAGAAACATGTATCTGTGTCTAGACCTTGTTGCTTAGTCACTCGGTCGGGTTTGACTCTTTGTGATCTGTGGACCACCAGGCTCCTCTGTCCCTGGCTTTTCCCAGGCAAGAATCCTGGAGTGGGTTGCCATTTCCTCCTCCAGGGGATCTTCCCGACCCGGGATCAAACCCAGGTCTCCTGCATTGCAGGTGGATTCCATACCAACTGAACCACCTGGGAAACCCGTGTGTAGACATACTTGGCTGTATTGTGCTTCACAGATCCTGGCAGTTTTTTTGCTTTTGTTTATTTTTTTACAAATTAAAAATTGTGGCAGCGCTCTCAAGCTGTTCGTGCCGTTAGTTAGTCTGTGAGTGACATTTTTTCCAATGGTACTTGCTCACTTTGTCTCTTGTGTCTCACATTTTGCTAATTCTCAGTGTTTGAAACTTTTTCACCATCACAGTGGTTACGGTCTCTGTGGTCAGTGTTCTTTGATTTTACTCGTATTACTGCTTGGACTCTGAAGGCTCAGTGGCTGGTTAGCATTCTTTTAATTTAAAATAAGATCTGTACATTGTTTTCGTAGACATGCTATTGCACACTAGGTAGACCCCAGTGTAGTGTAAACACAACATTTATATGCACTGGGAAAGCATTCATGTGGCTAGCTTTATTATGATATTTGCTTCATTGTGAGGGTCTGGAGCCCAACTTAGAAATCTCTCTAATGTAGGTCTGCCTATATTGTCTTTTAAAATAGGATGAGAAACATTTACTCCTCTCAGGGTGCAGGTCTGCCCCAGGAAAACCAGCTCCTTTCCCACTCTTTCCAGTTACAGAGTTGTGATAATGTGCCACACGGTGTAAGGCCTGTTCTTTTCCAAGCCTCTCTTTCCTTTGCCTGCAGTCTGTCTAGCTTTCTCCCTTCGTTAATTACCTGTGAAGGAAGATGAAAGACGTTCTGGATATTATAGCACAGAAAAAGCCGTCTGAAAATGAAATTCACGTGGCCAGAAGCTTCCTTACGAGGATCTTGAGAAACTCTATGAGGTACAGTCTTGGTTTTGCAATCGCTTTACTCCCAAGGTGCGATGGATTCATCCGTTTCGTGGGCAGTTATCATCAAGTCAACACCTTCCGCATTTTTGCCACCCATGGATATTTTTTTTTTCCTTGTTAATTATCTGAGTCATCAGAAGGTTTGTGTTGTAAATAACTTTCTGGGTTTTCATTACTGTTCGTTATTGCATAAGAGTCTTTATCGTTCTTGCCTGTTGGAAAGAATGTTTGACATCCGTCGGGTACTTAGAGGCTCAATGTACCCTTTAGCTTCGATCTGAAGTTGCCTGTGGCGAGGCTAGGTCGGTCCTAAATTTCAGGAGGAGGAGATGCAAGTGTGCACCGTCTCCTCACGCGGCAGCTTGCCCTGGAGGCTCTGTGACGTTCATACGGCAGCTGCACGGATTTCCAACACCTGGGCAGGTGTGGTCAAACCCTAATAAGCCGTCATGGATGGTGGTGACCGTAGCGGGGACAGGGAAGGCGCCCGTGACATTCAGAAGCTCTGGCAGGGATGGACTGGAGGCCACTGGTCTAGGGCATGGTCATGCCCACAGTGGGGACCCTTAGATGACTTCAGACACTCTGACAGGCTCAGGGCAATACGTGTCCACTGACCCCCGTTAGGGCTTCCCTGGTTGCCGAGGTCCAGCCCCGGCAGGACCTGGAATACCCAAGGGATGAGTGGCGTCGGTGAGGAAGAAGACAGACACACACACAGACGGTTGCGGAGAAGAGGTAGCTTTTTTTTTTATTTTTAGGATAGCTCAGTTTTTATAGAATGAATGTTACCTCCCCCTTAAGTCACCACATATTACATCAGATATTTCCGTCAATATTTTTTCCCCATGTTTTTTCCCTAAGCATTCATCTAGAACGTTTCCGATTACAGGGTTTATACTTAAATGTCCCGTACATAGTTTTCTTGCCTCAATGGCCTAACATTCTCGCTCTAACAAAAACAGTGTTTCACAAATCTCAGGTATAGTGTAAATTCTTTGGACAATAAAACAATATATGGGAAGGGTCACAGTAACATGTTTGACATTTCTGAAAATAGTACCATGAGAAAAACCTAATATTTTTCTTTACCTGAAACCACAAAATCTCAATTTACAACGATTAACTATTAAACAGCAAAAACACCTCTAAAGCAGCAAAACACCTCTATTAATAGTAAGATAATGGCAGTAAAGCTGGTTAATATAAATCTTCTATTAAAATCCTATATACCCCATTTTCTAATTTTACAAAAATACCCATAATATCCCATGTTGTTTAAAGAAAGGGAAACAATGAACAAATAGCAGCAAGGAAATAGCAATAGTGAAAACCCTTTCAACCAAGGAGCAAGTAAACTAAAGCAGTATATCTACTTCTAAATCTAAATACCTCTACTCTTTTCTATTCTAGAACATTATAATCTTTTAAGCAAGCAGCCAAACTATACCTGTGGCCTTTTCTTTTATGACTTGATGTTTATGGTCATGTCCTGAGCCAGAGCAATCTTGAGCATTTCCAAAAAGGCTTGGACTTTTCCAGCGAGGCCTTATTACTATAAATTATCATTTCCAAAAATTAATAGAAAGCCCAACAACAGTAAGACAGAAGGAAGAAAGGGACTTACCGGGCCCCCGGGACAACCTCGAGGGGAAGAGCTGCGTTGCAGATTCCTTTCTCGTCCCGTGACCTTGTCCCCAGAACAACCTCGAGGGGAAGCGCTGCCTTGCAGGTTCCTTTCTCGTCCTGGTGGCTCTGGAGGGGACATATTGGGCCCCCGGGGCAGCTCCATGTGAGGAAGAGCTGCCTTGCAGGTTGCTCTCTCGTCCCATTACCTTGTCACGGACTGGGTGCATCCTGGCGGCTCCCAACACCTGGTGGCTCAGACGGCAAAGAATCTGCCTACAATGCAAGATACCTGGGTTCAGTCCCTGGGTCGGGAAGATCCCCTGGAGAAGGAAATGGCAACCCACTCCAGTATTCTTGCCAGGAGCATTCTATGGACAGAGGAGCCTGGCAGGCTACAGTCCATGGATTTGCAAAGATTCTGATACAACCAAGTGACTAACAGACACACACACACACATACAGAGACACACACACACTGCCCACTGACTACAGGACAGCCATGTTCACTTAAGTGAGTGGATAAATAAATGCACCCAATCCTGTAACACCCAGCTTGAGCTTTCTGCACCTCATGCCTTCTCCTCAAGGAGGCCAGGGGTGTCTGCAAAGTTGCACTGACACAGGCAAGACAAAAGATGCTGCTGTGGTGTTTGGTGGGGAGACGGGAAAGGGAAGGCAAGATGTATGTATCTACTTATCTCGAAGAAATTTGGAGGACTTCCCTGGCAGTCCAGTGGTTATGACCCAGATTCCAGGGCAAGGGCTGTGGGTTTGATCCCTGGTCAGGAAACCAGGATTCCACTATGCGGAAAAAAAAAAAAAAAGCTTGAAAACATGTTTAAAAAGAAACACTCATTTTGGCATCCTGAGGGCCAGTTTGCACCTGGGAGCCAGTGATTGTCTCTCTGCGCTCAGGTCAGTTCTCCAGTAACGAACCTGTCCCAGGAGTGTTGGTGCCCAGATGTTAATGGGAAGTGCCCCACCACGATGCCTTGAATCACACGAATGATTTCCGCCTCTCACTCTTTTCTTGGCACGAAGCGGTCCTCGGTGTGACGTCCCTGAGTTGTGTGCATCCTTTTTTTTTTCCCTCCAGGAGGAATGAGCTGAGCTGGAGGCCACACTCCTGGCACGCCACCAAGTTCTCCGACAGCCACTCCGAGGCAGCTGCGCCTCTGTTCCCTTCTCGGCCGAGCCGGTGCCACGCCAGGTGGGCGCACCTTCTGCCTTCTTCCCCCTCTCCTCCGGGGGCTGGGGAGCTGCTTTCTCTTTCTGCCATACCGCTGACAGCCCTGTCCTGTCCTCACCACGCGTTTCTTTCTTTTCCTTCGTGTTGCAGTGCAGCTCATTTACCGTAGTCTTCATTTCAGCTATGCAGCCTAATGAGTCCCAATTTTTCAAGATGCTACTCCCGTCTAACAGCTGGGGTGAGGATCCGCCTTGCAATGCAGGAGACCCCAGTTCAATTCCTGGGTCCGGAAGATCCCCTGGGGAAGGGACAGGCTATCCATTCCAGTGTTCTTGGAATACAGGAGACCCCGGTTCGATTTCCTGGGTCGGGAAGATCCCTTGGAGGAAGGATAGGCTACTCACTCCAGTGTCCTTGGAATGCAGGAGACCCTGGTTCGATTCCCGGGTCGGGAAGTTCCCCTGGAGAAGAGATAGGCTACCTGCTTCAGTGTTCTTGGGCTTCCATGGTAGCTCAGCTGGTAAAGAATCTGCCTGCAAGGTGGGAGACCTGGGTTCGATCCCTGGGTTGGGAAGATTCCCCTGGAGAAGGGAAAGGCTACCCACTCCAATATTCTGGCCTGGAGAATCCCCATGGGCAGAGGACCTTGGCGGGCTGCCATCCATGGGGTCACAGAGAGTCAGACACGACTGAGTGGCCAAGCACAGCACACGCATACTCCGTTGAGAGTTATTGTAAGATGTTGGCTGTGTTCCCCGTGCCGTACAGTATATCCTTGTAGCGTATTTATTTTATCGTTTATACTTTACTATCCTACCTCTATCCTGTCCCTCCCTCCTTCCCTCCACCAGCTGGTAATCAGCAGTTCGTTCTGTATGTCTGTGAGTCTGCATCTCTTTGTTGTTGTTGTTTATTCCACATATAAGTGACATGCAGTATTTGTTTTTCTCCACCTTAGTTCATCAGACATAATGCCCTCCAAGCCTGTCCATGTTGATACAGATGGCAAAATTTCATTCTTTTTTTATGGCCGAGTAGTATTCCATTGTATGTGTTTGTGTGTATGATATATACCACGTCTTCTTTAATCTATTCAGCTGTTGATGGACTTTTAGGTTACTTCCGTATCTTGAAAACTGGAAATAATGCTGCTATGGACACTGGGGTGCATGTTATCTTTTTGAATTAGTGTTCTCGTTTTTTTTGCGGGGGGTAGGGTATATCCCAAGGGGTGAAATTTCTGTATCCAATGTTAGTTCTCTTTTTAGCTTTCTAGGAACTTGCATGCTGCTTTCCAATAGTGAACAAGGGTTCCCTTTTGTCCGTATCCTCACCAGCTTTTGTGATTTGTTGTCTCGTTGGTGACAGACCTTTTGACAGGTGTGAGGTGGGATGCTTCATTGTGGTTTTGGTTTGCATTTCTCTGATTACTGATGCTGAGCAGCTTTTCGTGTGCCATCTATATGTCTCCTTTGGGAAAATGTCTATTCAGGTCTTCTAACCATTATTTATTAATGTATTTTTGGCCCATGTGCGTCGTGTGGGATCTTAGTTCCTCAGCTGGGGATATAACTCTCCACCCGTGCAGGGGAAGGGCAGAGTCTTAACCACTGGACTGCCAGGGAAGTCCCTTCTGCCCATTTTTTAATCAGGTGTTTATTTTTCAGATAGAGTTGGATCTGTTTATTTTTTACATATTAACCCCTCATTGGTCGTGTCATTGGCAAATATTTTCTCCCATTCAGTAGGCTGTCTTTTCATTTTGTCGATGCTTTCCTTTCCCCTGAAAAAACCTTTCATTTTAACTAGGTCCTGTTTGTGTATTTTTGCATTTCTTTACTTTGCCTTAGGAGGCAGATCCCGAAAAATACTGCTACAATTTATGGCAAAAGGTGTTCTGACTATGTTTTCCTCTGGGAGTTTTATGCTTTCTGGTCTTAAATTTAAGTGCTGAATCCATTTTGAGATTTTTTTTTTTTAATACCGTATTAGAGAATGTTCTAGTTCCATTCTTTAGCATGTAGCTATCCAGTTTTCCCAGCACGACTTATTGAAGAAGCTGTCTTTTCTCCACTGTATATCCTTGCCTCCTTTGTCATAGACTAGTTGACGATAAGTGTGTGGGTTTATTTCAGGGCTCTCTATTCCATTTCCTGACCTATATGTCTGTTTTTGTGCCACTACCATACTATTTTGATGACTTTAGCTTTGTAATGTAGTCGGATACCTCCATCTTCCTTCTTCTTTCTCAAGGTTGTTTTGGCTCTTCAGGGTCTTTGATGTTACTATGCAAATTTTAGAATTGATCTGTTCTAGTTTTGTGAAAAATGCCATTGGTGTTTTGATAGGGATAGCTTCGAATCTGTAGATTGCTTTGAGCAGTATGGTCATTTTAACAGTATTCTTCCAGTCTATAGTATATATTTCCATCCTGTGTATGACATTTTCAGCTTCTTTTGTCAGTGTCTTATGGTTTTCTGACTATAGGTCTTTTACCTCCTTGGTTAGATTTTTTTCCTAGGTATATATGTATGTGTGTGTGTGTGTGTGTGTATTTTTTTTTTTTTCCTCCACACTGGGGGGCACATGGGATCTTGATTTCTCAACCAGGGATCAGACACATACCCCTCACAGTCAAAGCTCTTAAGTCTTAAGCTCTGGACTACCTAGGAAGTCATGGTACTTAATTCTTTTTAATGCAGTTTTAAATGGATTGTTTGCTCAGTTTCTCTGTCTGATGGTTCATGGTTAGTATGCAACACATTTCTTTATGTTAATTTCACATCCTGAAACTTGACCAAATTCATTGATGGCCTTGTAGGAGTTTTTTGGTGACATCTTTAGGATTTTCTGTGTATAATATCACATCATCTGCGAACAGAGACAGTTTTACTTCTTTCTTTCCAGCTTGAATTCCTTTTATTTCTTTCTCTTCAATTGCTGTGCTGTGGCTAGGAATTCCAAAATTTTGTTGAATGAAAGTAATGAGAGTGGGCATCCTTGCCTTGTTCCTGAAATGCTTTCAGCTTTTCACTGTTGAGTATAATCTTTGCTGTGACTTTTGCATATATGGCCTTCATTATGTTGAGGTATGTCTCCTGTATGCCCACGTGGTTGAGTTTTTATCAAAATGGATGCTGAATTTTATCAAAAGCTTTCTCTGCCTCTCTTGAGATGATCATATGGTTTTTACTCTTCAGTTTGTTAATGTTGTGTATCCCATTGGTTAATCTGCAGATATGGAAGCATCCTTGGTATATCCTGTGGTAAATTCCACTTGATTGTGGTATATAATCCTTTTAATGTATATTTTGATTCAGTTTGTGACTATTTTATTGAGGACTTTTCATTTATGTTCATCAGTGATACTAGCCTGTAGTTTTATTTTTTGTGTGTGATATCTCTGTCTGGTTTTGGTATCACAGTGATGCTGGCCATGTAGAATGAGTTCAGAAGCATTCCTTTCTTTGCAATTTTTGCAATTGTTTGAGAAGGAAAGGTGTTAACTCTTCTCTGCATGTTTGGTAGAGTTCACCTGTGACGCCATCTGGTCCTGGACTTTTGTTTGTTGGGAGTTTGTTTTTTTTTAAAATAGATTGAGCTTGTTGCTGCTAATTAGTTTGTTCATATTTTCTACCTTCTGGTTTGATCTTGGGAAATTGTACGTTTCTTGAAAATTTTCCACTTCTTCTAGATTGTCTGGTTTATTGCAATGTAGTTCATATAATTATCTTGTAAGATCCTTTGTGTTTCTGTGGTATCAGTTATAATTTCTTTCATTTCTGACTTTATTGATTTTGGGGTCCTCTTCTTTCTTGATGAGCCTGGCCAAAGGTTTATCAATTTTGTTCATCTTTTCAAAAATCAAGTTTTAGTTTGATCTTTCTTAGTGTTTTTTAGTCTGTAGTTCCATTTATTTTTGCTCTAATCTTCATGATTTCTTCCCTTCTACTATATTTGGAGTTTGTGTGTTCCTTTTTCTAGTCCCTTTAGAATATAGGGTTAGAATATTTAAGTTTTTTTGTTTCCTAAGATAAACTTGCATTGTTGTAAACTTCCCTCTTAGAACTGCTTTTTCTGCATCCCGTAGATTGTGGATTGTTACATTTTATATGGTGCCTTTCTTGACTTCAGAATGATGTTCCTTTTCTGATGAGAAAAGTCTATGGATGCATCATTACTGGGACGATTCTAACTTTTTTTCACTGAGTAGGCAGATGTATAATACTTGAAAACAAACAAACAAAAAAAAACACCAGGAGAAAGGATGGGCAAGCATACTCTCTCATTTATGTCGTCTAATTGATAAATCAGTTTTGGCCGAATCCCTTTGAGCCAGCTGAGTGGGATGGCTGTGCACGTCACCACCCTTCTTTAGAGATGTTTACGTGCAGATTAGAAGGCGGGGGTCACTTACATGTTGAGCAGGTGTATTTTGCCAAAGCTCCCCAGGGGATTCTGTACTCCACCAGCACCCTCTCTCCCAGGTTGCTTTAAACCAGGGGCCTTCACAGCCCATGTGCCAGGCTTGGGACCAGCCTTGGGGGCCTGGTGGTCTCTTGGTGACTGTGAGACAGAGGGCCTGAGAATTGTGAGGTTGGTAGAAGGGGGAGGAGGGCTGGTCAAGCTGGCTTATCTGGAGCCCACATTTCAGGGTCAGAAGGGCAAATGCCACCCCCAGACAGCACCATGGGGGTGTTGGCTGGGAGATGCTTCTGCTGGCCACAGGGAGCTGACCAGTCATCTCGGTGAGTGGCAGGTGTCCTCACTAGTCTCAGCTCAGTTCAGTTCAGTCACTCAGTTGTGTCCAACTCTGTGACAGGAGTTTGCTCAAACTCATGTCCACTGAGTCGGTAATACCATCCAACCATCTCATCCTCTGTCATCCCCTTCTCCTCCTGCCTTCAATCTTTCCTAGCATCAGGGTCTTTTCAAATGAGTCAGCTCTTCACATTGGGTGGCAAAAGTATTGGAGTTTCAGCTTCAACTTCAGTCCTTCCAATGAACACTCTGGACTGGTTTCCTTTAGGATGGACTGTTTGGATCTCTATGCAGTCCAAGGGACTCTCAATAGTCTCCCCACAGTTCAAAAGTATTGATTCTTCCACGCTCAGGTTTCTTTATGGTCCAGCACTCACATCCATACGTGACTACTGGAAAAACCATAGCCTTGACTAGTTGGACCTTTGTTAGCAAAGTAATGTCTTTGCTTTTTAATATGCTGTCTAGGTTGGTCATAACTTTCCTTCCAAGGAGTAAGTGTCTTTTAATTTCATGGCTGCAATCACCATCTGCAGTGATTTAGGAGCNACGTGACTTAGCCAGCTCACACACTTGTGTCTTTCCCAAGGTCACACATTTTTCTTTCTCATCTTGGTTCCTCTCAAACCTCAAGGAGATGCAGTTTTGTTTTTTTCACCCTTGAAGCATGAATGGTCCAGCTCTGTTGAGCTTTAATGAAAGCACTTTACATGCCTGGATAAATAGTTTCACCATTGAGAGCTTTAAGTATGCAACATTGTCCTATCAAAAAAAAAAGAAGTGCATACCTGAGTCTTAAAATACTAAAAAAAATGCTATGATCGTCTGAGCTTTCGGTGAGTGGCAATCCTTTTGCAATAGTCAACATGAACGATCACTAATCACCATGAGAAATAATAATGAAAAAAATTTCAAATACTGCAATAATTTTTAAAATGTGGCAGAGTGAACGGTGTTGGGGAAAATGGCGCCTATAGGCTTTCTTGATGCAGAATTGCCACAAACCTTCAATTTGGGGGCCAGGGAGGAAGCACTATCCGCAAAGTGCAGCAAAATGAGGAATGGCTATAATTTAATATTTGGGTTTTGCAAATATAATCTTATCTTTGAACTTGCCTTTTTAGGTTGAAGATCCTTCTCTTTTTGATGGCTCTCCTCGTGCTTGCAGTGCATAGCACAGATTATTTTGTGCACTAAACTAGAGGCTCACGAACTTGTTCCGCAATGGGCCACATACACTTTCTAGCTGGTGGGCAGGTGTCTTTGGCAACTGCTCAGCTCTGTGTGGAGCCAACACACAGCCATGACCATCTTCCCCTCAGGCTCTATATTTATGAGCACTGAAATTTGAATTTCAGATCTTTTTATGGATCATATGGTACTGTTTGAATTTTGCCCTCTCCCCATACTAGAAAACCTGAAAGCCATCCTTAGCTTTGTGGGCTGCAGTTTGCTATCCAGGACACTTCTGCAGCTGCGGACTTCCGCCCAGCCTGTGGGTGTTGCCTCTAGAAATGTACTGCAGCATTGAAGGTTTTCTGTTTGGGAAATGGCATCCAGTGGGTAGGACTCCGACCCTTTCAGCCTGCCTCAGAAAAGCTACTCTTTGAAATGTGAAAAGTTAGATGCGGTGCTCTCACCTTCCCTGCGCTTCGGCCGGTGACATGCAGGAGATGCAGGTTCGATCCCTGAGTCGGGAAGATCCCCCAGAGAAGGAAATGGGAACCCACCCCCGTATCCTTGCCTGGAGAATCCCATGGACAGAGGAGCCTGGCGGGCTACAGTCCATGGGGGTTGCGAAGAGTGGGACACGGTTGCGCATACCTGCATTTACCTTCCCGTCCAGGGATCGCCATGGGGGAAGAGTGTTTAGTGCAGGTGATGTCTGCACGGGGTCAGCTGCGCCCACGTGCACCGTCGCCTCTTGCCCTTGCCTGCAACCTGGCCCGAAAGCCCCCCTCTGTTGCCTTTGGTTTCTCCTTTCCTAGTGCCTCCTCCCAGGACCTGTCGGGCGGCGCCTGGGAGCCAGCGAACCTGCAGCGCACCTCCGACCACTTCAGCTCGCTGGGGAGTGTCGACAGCCTGGACCCGTCCTCCCAGCCCGACCCGTCGGGGCGCCTCTCGGCCGCCAAGTCCAGCAGCAGCATCGACCGCTTGGGTGGCGCCAGCAAGCGGGACTCGGCTTACGGCTCATTCTCCACCCGCTCCAGCACCCCGGACCACACCCTGCCCAAGGCGGACGCATCCTCGGCCGAGAACATCCTCTACAAAGTGGGCCTGTGGGAGGCCTCCGCTGCAGCACACAGCCGGCTGGGCCCGACGGCCGGCGACCCTCAGGGCGCCGAGGAGCCCCTGGGGTGCTTCCCGCACCGGGTCCCTGAGGACGGCCCCGAGCCCAAGCTAGCTGCTTGCGGGCGGTCCAGCTCTGGGCCCGTCTGGTATGTTCCCGATAAGAGACGAGCCCCTCCGTCCCCTCCCCCGCCGCCTCCCCCGCTCCGCCGGGACAGCTTCGCTGCCATCAGGAGCCACGAGCAGACCCAGGGCCCCGCGTTCTCAGCAGACGCTGCCCACGCGCAGCCCTTGCCGGGCCTAAGCCGCGCGCAGCCCCACGGCGGCGACTGGAAGAGACCTGAGCCCGCTAATCAGCCGTCGAGGCCGGCCCGGGGGGGCGAAGGCTGGAGAGCCGCGAGCTCTTTGGGCTGCATGCCCGGGGCGCACCTGGACTGCGGGGGGTCGGCCTGCGATAGCGGGTCCCGGGCCCTCCTGGGGGCCCCCAGCCGGCTGCAGGCTTCTCTATCCAGCACCGACGTGCGCCACCCGCAGCCCTCGCCCGCGTGCCAACACCCGCGCCACTCGAGCGACGAGGGCCCCTTCTTCCGCGAGGGCCCCAGGGCCGCCACGTGGCTTGGGGAGCCCTTCCTCACTGACTGCGTCGCGGACGACAGCCCTGCTGCTATTGTTGTCGGAGGGCCACGAGCTGCCGACCAGAGGGGGGACTCTGGCACGCAGAGCCGCTACTATTGCGTGATGTCCAGACCCGGTCCCCAGTGGGGCGCCCCGGCCCCCCAGCCCCGCTGCTACCCGTCCCGGCTGGAGGGCGCCCCGGGCGCACGGCAGAGAGGCAGGGCGGAGCCGGTGGACAGGGCACCTGAGGACCCACCGGGGGCCAGCATCCTGGACAAAGGCGATAGGAAGAGGGTGGTGGGCAGCCTGGACTTTGGGGGCGGTGAGATCTGCCCCCTGCAGACGCCCATGCTGCACTCGCTGAGCCGGGAAGGGGCGCGCCGGCATGAGACTGGCCACGAGGACGCGGCAGCAGCGCCGCCCGAGGCCCCGGCAGGCAAGCCCCTCCGGAGGAGCGATCGCTTCGCCACCACCCTGAGGAACGAGATCCAGCAGCGGCGAGCCAGGCTGCAGAAGAGTCGGAGCACTGCCACCTTGGCCAGCTCTGCGGAGGAGGAGGGTGAGAAGATGAACGCGGTGGGGCTGGCGGAGGACCAGTGCCCCGCAACCCCGGACGAGAACATGCGCACCTTTGCCGACAGGTGGAAGTTTTTTGAGGAAACCAGCAAGCCTGTGGGCCCCCAGCCGGGGCCGAGGCCAGCGCCCTATGGCTTCCCCAGGGAGAAGCCGGAGATGCTGTGGAAAGCAGGCCCTGGAAAAGATGGAAAGGCAGGGAAACCCATCCCGCCGCAGAGGCTCGGCACCTTCGCAGAGTATCAAGCCTCCTGGAGGGAACAGAGGAAGGTACCGGAAGCCAGGGGTGCCGGCAGGTACCACTCCGCCGACAACATCCTCGACGTGGGTGTGGACCAGGAGGAGAGGCCGCAGTACGTCCATGAAAGGTCCCGGTCATCACCTTCCACGGATCTCTACAAGCAGGTAAGCATCTTGCAGGGGACCAGACACAGCCTCCTCTGACCCCATCTTAAGGCACAAATGGGACACCCCCGGAACAGCATGGCCCGGTGTCATGGTGACTTGTGTTCTGATGTCCAGACGTTTCTGTGTACCAGGCTCAGCCATTATATCAGCTCGTGTGAGTGGTACCTGGGCACCAGGTCCACACATTCAGGACAATTGCAGATGCCCTGGTTTCCCCCACATCTCAAGTTCCCAGCCTCATCTCTAGCTGAAGCTGTCTTCCCCCCTGATTAGCTTGCCCTTGATACAAAGGGAAAAAACTGGGGGAGACAATAGGAAATGGTTAAGTTGTTCTCTGAAATGAAAAGGGATGCTTTATGTCCACCCTTCAGACAACATATGTTAGACATTTTCCAAATATTGATGTCACTTCATACTTTTACTGTTCTCATTTGGTTTTTATTTTATGGGGTCAGATATTTTTAAAGATTGCTCTGGGGCGAGTGTAACTGAAAGTGGAATGCTTTAAACTATCGCACTTTTCTTAGGTGTGTTGATGGTGAAAGCTGATGTTAAGCTTTCTAAAAAAAACCTCCGTGCTTGTATTCATACTTCACGGTTCATAGTCTCCCTGTCTCTGCCTTTTCCACTCCTTCCATCTGCAGGAGTGTATTTCAAAGGAAAGATTTCCTGCAGCATCCGATGGAGGCTGTTGTAAACAATAGAACCAGCGATTGCTTTGTTACACAGTTATGAATGTGTGTGTGCGTGTGTGAAGAGAGGTGCTGGTTTCTGTGTGGCCCCACGGTACAGAAAGGCCTGTGGACACCTAGGGCGTGTGTGTCCCCCGAGATGGTGCCCTGTGCCACGTGACCTTCAAGAATTCCATGTTGTCGAGGTCAAGAGACCAGGCTGCCAGACTCCAGGTCGCAGGGCTTGAGCTGTGACTGTGGTGAGCCGTGTGACCAGCAGCATTTTGATTTGACTGGGTGGGGTTTGGGGGCCACCATGTCACACAGCTTTCCAGTCCTCACGTCAGAGTCCTGCTTCCTGCCCAGGAACCCAAGGGGTCCGCAGTCTCCTTGAGTCATTTTGATGAGGGCTGGGCTGACGGTCCCCAGGCCAGCTGACCGCAGGCCACGTCACCCAGTTCGTGGGTGCTGGCTCCCAGGGCCTGCCCACAATGAGGGGGTTCGTGATCGCAGAGGTTCTGGGGAGAGGGGAGGAGGCCGGTTGATGACTGGGTGTCCCATTGTGCCGCCCTTGGCAGGACGCCTCCGTGGAATCTCGACGGCAAGCAGGGGACCCGGAGGAGCACACGGAGCTTTCTTGGGCGGCACGGGCCAAGGGCAGAGGCCCCACCCCAAGGTAAGAGAGTCTTGCACTCAGGGTCACTGAGGAGGCATCTTGGGGGGTGGGTGGGCTGCTTTACAGCAGGTGAGGGCTCCATTAACATGGTCGCAAGTGTGGTTTCCGCCAGACCTGAAGTGGGTGGTCACCAGTTCGGGTTGCCCGAGGCCCCTCACCACTGCCGGTGGGACCAGCAAACCCAGGGCGGGGATAGTCTGAACACCCTCCTTATGGCATTTTTGTTGGTTCATCAGACAGCTGCTGTGTTTTGCATGCAGTCGAGTTCTTTCTGATGACAGAGAAGCCCAGTGTGATGGGCTTGAATGGAATGCTTCATGCAGAACAGCAAACTGAAGGGACCCTTTAACGACTAGAGTGCAGCTGGGTTGCTGGCGGGGGAATCCAAGTTGCCTGGAAGGATTGTTACTGAAAGGATGGGGGTTAGGCCTTCTTTAATGAGTTCATTTTGAGCTTTAAAAATAGAAATCAAATCGGTCAGCTCCCCCGGAGCAGGTCAGAGCGTGGAAAAATGGGCTGGCTGTAGTGTTAACACGATTATATGCACACATTCTGAAATGTGTCTGGAGTAGCTGTCTTCCTGCAGTGAGGGTGGAATTTAGGTGAAATACACACCGCTGTGTGGACCTCATCCCTGAGGATCGCAGGAGAGGGCATTGCAGGTCACTGCAGGAGCGGGGCTTTAATCTCATTTGCAAAACGGCTGATAAAAGGGTCTTCCCTGGTGGCCTAGTGGGTAGGACAGGACACCAAGCTCGCAGTGTGGGGACCTGGATTCTATCCCCAGTCAGAGAACTAGATCCCACATGCGGCAGCAAAGACTTGGCACAGCCAAATAAATAAATATTTTGTAAAAAAAAAAACAAAATACTGATGGAGAAATGGAAGCAGATTTGTGCATGGTAGGGTCACTGACTGCGGGTCTTTCTGTGCCTTGAGGGTCTCGGGGTTGATGCGCTGCTCGGATTCAAACATCAACCTCGAAATGGAAGGTTGTGTTGCAGAAACGACCGATTTGAATGTTGGCTCCTGCGAGCCTGGTGTGCCGGGGTCTTGTTTCATTTGGCTCTGAAACTGGCCGTTGGCAGCATCGCCCAAGGGTACGGTGGCTCGGAGCCGGCAGGCGTGGAGGTCTGCATGTGCTGGCGTGGGACGCTGGCATGGTTGGCGCTTTTGTGACCCTGGGTTCTGAACAGATCACGTGCAGAGTGCCAGCTGTCGTCTTGATCGGAGTGGCTCCTGGCCCCGCTGCAGTCCCGAGTGTGCTGCATTGTGGGGAGGGGGGCTGCTGCGGGCAGCCCTGCACACGTGGGCGGGCTTCCCTCCTGCCCGGCGGCAGCAGCGGGCCTTTAAACTGCAAAGCTATTGCTGCTGCCCTGGTTGGACTTCACCTCTTCTGCTGTGCAGTCGTAATAAACGGCTTCACTGTACATACCCTATGTATATTACAATGGCACGGTCAGCGGTGAAGGGGTGAAGAGGACCGAGGTGGGTGGGGGGAGATGGCAGTGGGAGGGAGAGAGGGAATCACATGCTGCGTGCATCACAGGCTTGGCTTCTGGCAGGCTGTGTGGGTAACCACTCTGAGGGAGTGACTTCCAGAAGATTTCTGCTTTTGCGAGACCAACCCAGCAATTTTCAGAATCATCCTGTGGGCTTTTAAGGAGTGGTGAGACTCAAGTGAAATTCTAGAACAGGAATGTCAGAAAAGGCGTGGTCAGCTGCTTTTGGAGAATGTTTTATTTTCTGAAGTAACCAGAGAGAGTGCCCTCGAGACATTTAAATTTGAGAATAAAATAAATGAAAATGCAGGCAAGGGACTGTCCTTTGAGATCTATAATGCAGAGATTTAAAGATGCCCCATGTTTTGCATAAATTAATGTAAAACAGTCTGTATATAAGGGCTTCCCTGGTGGCTCAGGCGGTGAAGAATCTGCCTGCAGTGTGGGAGACCCAGGTTCAATCCCTAGGAGTGGCTACCCGCTCCAGTATTCTTGCCTGGACAGTGCCATGGACAGAGGAGTCTGGCAGGCTATATGTTCTCAGAGAGTTGGACAGGATGGGCAATTAATGCCCTTTAATTGCTGATCTATTAACCAGAACGTGATAATGAAAACTGGTTTTTGTTGTATTTATTAGAGTTCCCGAAGAGTATCAAGATAATTATTCATGTGAATCAAATTGAGAACTTTTTAAAATAAACTTTTAATCTTATATTGGAGTATAGCCAGTTGGGCTTCTCTGGTGACTCAGGAGTAAAGAATCCGTCTGCAATGCAGGAGACCCGGATTCGATCCCTGGGTCGGGAAGATCCCCTGGAGAAGGAAATGGCAACCCACTCCAGTATTCTGGCCTGGAAAATCCCGTGGACAGAGGAGCCTGGTGGGCTACAGTCCACGGGGTCGCAAAGAGTTGGGCACTACTGACAGACTTCACTTTCACTATAGCCAGTTAAGAATATGATAGTTTCAGGTGGACAGTGAAAGGACTCAGCCCTACATAGACAGGTATCCACTCTCCCCCCAGCTCTCCAAATTGAGAACATTTTTCTGAGGTTCAAAATTCTGGTTCTGGATCAAGTAGGACAGAGGTTCCACCCCCACAGGACTTCCCAGTGCAGCAGAGAAGGAAAGACACCCGTACTTACAACTGGGGCGATGATACATAATTGTCAATTTGTGAAGTGTTATGTGGTTAGACAGGACTGAGCAAATAACACCCTCTAATTGCTGATCTGTTAACCAGAACATGAAGTGGAGGTGGGACTCGGCTCCTTCTGGATTGTGGCAAAAAATGATTCTCTGTTGGCACGACCCCGCTGCTGAACTTGTATTGACAATTTTAGTTGACCTGGCAGTACATGAAGCAGCAGGCTCTCCTTGCTTTCTGGAGCCAAGACATCAGCAGCTCAAAGTTGGTACCACGAACTTGTTGGCCGCAAAAGAAAGAAAGAAAGTGAAGTCGCTCAGTCGTGTCCGACTCTTTGTGACCCCATGGAGCCTGAGGCTCCGCCATCCATGGGATTTTCCGGGCAAGAATACTGGAGTGGGCGGCCATTTCCTTCTCCAGGGGATCTTCCCAACCCAGGAATCGAACCCAGGTCTCCTGCATTGCAGACAGACGCTTTACCGTCTGAGCCACCAGGGAAGCCCCCTTTTCCCCTAGATTAGTCTCCAAATCCTTAGAATTTCTATGAAAAGCCATTTCTCCACAGAAACAGAAAAAAGAAAAAAGCCCCTTCAACCAGCCAAAGGCTTGAAATTGTCATTTCTGGGGGAGAAATCTTCACAACGGCTGAGATAGGAGAGGGGGGATAAAAGCAATCATCAGAAGATAGCCGAGAGGACTTGGTGGCAGGTATATGTGGAAGGTATCCTGCATTGTACTAGAAATAAATGNTCCCTTCTCTAGTGGATCTTCCCGACCCAGGGATGGAACCCAGGTCTCCTGCGTTGCAGGCAAATTCTTTACCAGCTGAGCCGCCGGGGAAGCCCAATTATGGACTAGACTGGATGTAAGCAGCACCCTTCCGGTGTCTGTATCTCCCATCACTCCCCCAGATGGGACCACCTAGTTGCAGAGAGAGAAGCTCCCATCTCCCACTGATTGTACATTACCGTGAGTGGTACAAATATTTCCTTACTTAACCACAAGCAGATTTTATGGTACAAGTATTTCCTTTATTTATCACATGGAATAATTACAGAAACAGTACACCTACATGCCATGTGCTTGAATCATCCAGAAACCATCCCCACCCCCCACCTCTTGGTACGCGGAAAAATTGTAGAGGATTCTGTTCTGTGGGGTGGAGCCCGACGCTGTGGCCTCTGGCAGGTTCCCGCCCCCAGCCTCCTCCTGGCCCCCTCCGCCCCCTCCAGGAGGAGTTGCTGCCAGCCGGCCAGCTCTGACCTGCAGGCTTGTGTTTTGTTGGGACACGTGGAGAAGAAAGGGGGGATCGCAGTGGAGACTTCAGAATGGATCCTTAAACCCAGTAACAGCCAGAAGGTGGAATCTGTTTGAAATCACGCTCTTTTAGGGAAAAGCGTGTTTTCATAGTAAATCCATCTACACATTTAAATCCAGCTGAGGGTCACCTCCCTGTGCGACTTCCCCTGAGAGGTGGCTTGGTGTCCAGAGCCCGATGCCAAGTCTAACTTCTTTTTTTATTCATTTGTGTTTATTGGAGTATAGTTGCTTTCCAATGTCGTCTTAGTTTCCGCCGTTCAGCAGAGTGAATCAGCTGTGTGTATAGATGCACATAGATGTATATGCTGTCTTTGAAAAAGTTTCTTCTCATTTAGATCACCACAGAGCAGGGAGTTCCCTATGCTATACAATAGGTTCTTACTAGTTATATATTTTATACATAGTATCAGCAGTATCAGCAGCTTCCCTGGTGGTTCAGATGGTAAGGAATCTGCCTGCAATGCGGGAGACCTGGGTTCAATCCCTGGGTTGGGAAGATCCCCTGGAGAAGGGAATGAGTACCCAGTCCAGTATCATTGCCTGGGAAATCCCATGGACAGAGGAGCCTGGCAGGCTACAGTCCATGGGGTCGCAATCAGATGCAACTGAGCAACTCACACTTTGGCTGTTTTTTTTCCACTTTCTTCTTCAATAGTGGGGATGTGCCAGTCACAATCTCCCCGTTCCCCCAGCCACCCTTTACCCCTTGGTGTTCACGCGTTCATGTCACGCACAGGACTGACCTTGCGTGCACTCACAGGCTGCTCACGAGAAAGTTCATAATCGGAGAGTGGTCCACCCTCATGTGCTGCTCGCTTTTCTGGCCTGAATTCAGTGAGCGAAGGCGGCAGTTGCCGGGTAATTAGGAAGTCACGCTGGGATGACCACAAGGTGAAGGCCAAGCTTGAACTTTCCAGGGAGGGGTCCAGCTTCCTTCGGGCGGTGCAGCGTCTGCTGTGCTCGGAGCCTTGCCGCCGGACCTCCGTGCTCCCAGAGATGAGGAGCAGCGGCCGTGGGAAAGCCCGGGCTCAGAGTCTGGTGCTGTTTTTAACGTCTTCAGTTGTCACTACATTCTCTCCTCGTGTTTATAGCCATGCGACTTCCGGAAATGCAGAGCCAGGCTGAGGGACGGGCAGGCTTGCTTACTGGCTGGTTTTGTCTTGTGACTCCCTGTTATTCAAAAGGGAGCTTTGTAAGGGCAGTGATTGGAGGGATCCAGGGCTTAGTTCATCATCCGTCACCATCATCCACTTCCACAACGTTCTCATGACCCCAAAGGGATTAGTTCATCCGTCACCACCATACACTTCCAGAACATTCTCATGACCCCAAAGGGATTCATTTATCCATCACCACCATCCACTTCCAGAGCATTCTTACCACCCCAAAAGGCCTACTTCATCTGTCACTATCATCCACTTCTAGAATATTCTCACCACCCCAAAGGGATTAGTTCATCCATCACCACCGTCTACTTCTGGAACATTCTTATCACCCTGAAGGGATTATTTCATCCATCACCACCGTCCACTTCCAGAACATTCTCATCACCCCAAAGGGATTAGTTCATCCGTCACCACCATCCACTTCTAAAACATTCTCACCACCCCGAAGGGATTAGTTCACCCATCACTACCGTCTATTCCTAGAACATTCTCATCACCCTGAAGGGATTAGTTCATCCATCACCACCATCCACTTCCAGAACATCCTCATCACTCTGTAGGAATTAGTTCATCCATCACCACCATCCACTTCTAGAACATTCTCATCACCCCAGAGGGCCTAGTTCATCCATCACCACCATCCACTTCCAGAACATCCTCATCACCCCAAAGGGAAAGCTTGTACCCATTGAGAAATTGTAGAATTCTTACCAGGATGTTCTGGACAGTGAGCACGGTCACGCCTTGTGTGTGTTTGGGTCACACTGTTGGAGGTGATAAGCTGGACATCCCCAGCAGGGACAAAAAGTTGAGTCCAGGCTCATGCGAGAACCCAGCTGTCTGCACAGACGAGGGGTGAGCCCTCACGGTGCCCTGCCCGCAGAGCTGAGGCTCCTGTCCTTGCAGAGGGGAGCGGTGAGTCCTTACGTGGCACGTGGGGACCCATGGTAACTGCACCTACAAGAAGTGGGGTGTCGGGGGCCACGAGAGGGACAGTTCATTCCCAGCAAAGCCGTTAAATAGACGTTGGCTTAATACTTCTGC